AAAAAAAAAAAAAAAAAAAAAAAAAAAAAAAAGAAAGAAAAAGAAATGCAGTCATTACTTAAAAAATACAAAGGGTAAGAAAAGTTCCTTATCTATTCTATGAAAAAGTAAAAGATTCCCAGGTTGCCCACAGAATTGATGTTAATTACTATCAATTGTTTAACTTTTTTTTTTTTTTTTTTTTTTTGAGGCAGTCTCGCTCTTATTGCCCAGGCTGGAGTGCAACAGCACGATTCCGGTTCACTGCAACCTCTGTCTCTCAGGTTTAAGTGATTCTTCTGCCACAGCCTCCCAAGTAGCTGGGACTAAAGGCACATGCCACCATGACTGGCTAATTTTTGTATTTTCAGTAGAGATGGGATTTCACCACATTGGCCAGGTTGGTCACAAACTCCTGACCTTGTGATCCACCCACCTCAGCCTCCCAAAGTGCTGGGATTACAGGTGTAAGCCACTGCACTTGTCCATTTAATAATTTAATAATAGCCACTATCTTGTTTTTTTTTTTTTTTTTTTTGAGACAGAGTTTCACTCTTGTTACCCAGGCTGGAGTGCAATGGTGCGATCTCGGCTCACTGCAACCTCCGCCTCCTGGGTTCAGGCAATTCTCCTGCCTCAGCCTCCTGAGTAGCTGGGATTACAAGCACGCGCCACCATGCCCAGCTAATTTTTTGTATTTTTTTAGTAGAGACGAGGTTTCACCATGTTGACCAGGATGGTCTCGATCTCTTGACCTCGTGATCCACCCGCCTCGGCCTCCCAAAGTGCTGGGATTACAGGCGTGAGCCACCGCGCCCGGCCCACTATCTTGTTTTTCATATAATTAGAGTACTACCATGACATTTCTTTTTTGTGGGGGTTTTTTTTTTTTTTTTGAGACAGTATCTCTCTATTGCCCAGGGTGGAGTGCAGTGGTGCAATCCTGGCTCACTGCAACCTCTGTCTCCCGGATTCAAGAGATTCTGATGACTCAGCCTCCTGAGTAGCTGGGACTAAAGGTACATGCCACCATGCCCGGCTAATTTTTGTATTTTTAGTAGAGACAGGGTTTCACCACATTTGTCTTGAACTCCTGGCCTTGTGATCTGCCTGCCTCAGCCTCCCAAAGTGCTGGGATTACAGGCATGAGCCACAGTACCCGTCCATTTAATAATTTAATAATAGCTACATCTTGTTTTTCATATAATCAGAGTACTACCATGACATTTCTTTATTGTGGGTTTTTTGTTTTGTTTTGTTTTGTTTTTGAGACAAAGTCTTTCTCTGTTGCCCAGCCTGGAGTGCAGTGGTGCAACCTTGGCTCACTGCAACCTCCACCTCCCGGGTTTAAGTGATTCTCATGCCTCAGCCTTCCAAGTAGTGGGACCAAAGGTGGGTACTACCACAACTGGCTTTTTGTCTTTTTAGTAGAGACGAGGTTTTGCTATTTTGGCCAGGCTGGTATCGAACTCCTGGCCTCCAGTGATCCACCCACCTCAGCCTCCCAAAGCACTGGGATTACAAGTGTAAGCCACTGCACCCAGTCTGATATTTCATATTAGAGAAAAATGTATGTTTGTTATGACCTGATTATTTATGCTTAAAAATTCAAGCTGTTTGTTCTCCTTACTATTACAATTAGAATAATAGTAGATGGCTTTTTCACATAACCTGAAAAATAAGTTTTCTCTGTGATTTAGATCTTTCCCATGAATTTCCCATAAAAATATACCAACTTATCAATTTAAATATTATGAACACATTTTCAAAATGTTAAAATACGTTTTAAGGGAAACAGATTTCAGAGCTTTCTGATTAATCCTTAAAATTCCTGATGTGTCACATCTTTTTTATATATGTGTATACATATGAAATTATATATATGTTTTTGTTTGTTTTGAGACAGTCTCAAACTCCTGACCTCAGGTGATCCGCCCACCTCAGCCTCCCAAAGTTTTGGGAAAACAAGCATAAGCCTGGCCCATCTTTTTCCTATATAACTTTTTAAAATAAATTAAAAGTTGTAGATTTGGGGACAAAAAAAATGTTCTAAAATTAAGTGGCAGGTGCCTGGAGTTCCAGCTACTTGGGAGGCTACAGCAGGAGGATCACTTGAACCCAGGAGTTCAAAGCCAGCTTGGGCAACATAGCAAGATCCCATCTCTAAAAAACAAATGAATAAATGAAATAAAATTTACTGTGGTGACTGACGGTAGAATGTCTCTGTGAAAGCACTAAAAATCATTGAATCATGAATACTAAATGGCTGACTTATATGGTATATGAACTATATTGCGATGACACTGTTCTCTTGGTTTTGTTTTGTGTTTTTGTTATTTATTATTTATTTATTTATTTTTTAAAGACGGGGATTCACCATGTTGGTCAGGCTGGTCTTGAACTCCCAACCTCAGGGGATCCGCCCGCCTTGGCCTCCAAAGTGCTTGGATTACAGGCGAGAGCCACCGCACCCGGCCGGTTTGGTTTTGTTTTTTAAGAGACAGGGGTCTTGTTATGTTGCCCAAGTTGAACTCAAACTCCTGGACTCAAGTGATCCTCCCACCTTGGCCTCCTGAGTAGGAAATATAGGTCTGCACCGCTGCACCTGTTTTGTTTTGGTTTTTAAGTTGCAGAGAATCCAAAATGAATAAATATCCCCGTCCATTTAAACTAGTATTTTCTCTCAAAGGACCCAGACTTCAGTTTTGTGTCTCTTATCAACTGTGTTCTATGTAAAAAACAAAGACAAAAAAAAAAAAATACCTTAGCCTAAGACATGTCTGTGGCCTCTTTTCTTTCTTTTTTTAAACCTGGCAGCAAAACCCTTTTGTCTTTGTGCTCTATATCCATGGTAGCAGTCTTTTCTAGTTAGGATTCTTCATGGTAGATGAGGATATAAACCAACCAACTTTGAAAGGCTTTACCTCAATTACCGAGATGCCCTGGTAGGACTCTTCTCTTGCTCCTTCTCCACTACAAACATGGACTTTGTCTATTTATTTTATAGGAGAAAGTTACCATTACAGTATAGTTTGCCTCAGTAACAGGCTCTCATTGGCTACCCTGACTTGTTAACCTGTTTCTCTTTGTGTAGGCCCGACTCTTCCTATGTGACTTGAGCTAAAGCAAAAGGCTCAAGTTCAAACTGAAAGCTCCCCATTCCACAAGAGTGAAAAAATAACCCCACTGTCCCCCTAACTTGAACCTCAATAAAAATAGATCGCCACAAAAACTGGAAGTACTCCTTAGTCTCCTCCCTTGAGTTTGCGGCAGACTTCCAGATACTTCCAAAACCACACAGTAATGAAATACACTGCTCTTTTGGCTATGTTACAGTGATTTGGAGAAGGCTTCTAGAATGTAGCAGATGTAGACACTTCCTCTCCTGGGCTCCTGCCAAAGCACAAGGCTTTTTCAAAAGCCTGAGCTGTCTGAAGAGTCTAGAATTTTCTGTTTAAACAGATTTCTATCATAATTTTCTTCATGAATAAACGCTATTTGCAGAAAATATAAATGTTTTCACTGTACTCACAGAAGGCTAATCACAAAGGATGTCTAAGCTTTTAACTCTGATAAGAGAGTTTAGATTTGTCAGAAAAGAGGTTATTTTGCCATTGCTAAAATATATTGTCACTAAAGTTTTTTTTGTCATTTCTCATTGTCCTTAAATCTCACAAGGAATTAAAAACCATTAGTCTACAGAAATAGCTAAAAAGAAGCTTAAGATGGCATTTTTCTTTGAATATAATAGCTTCTTCTTCGAATACAATACATATTTTATATATAGATATACATTTTTTTTGCGGATCATAGGAAGTTTATTGTGTCTTTAAGAGACAATGCAGACTCCTTGTCAAGGGAAAGGTCTTTCAGAAACAGGAACCGCCATTTGGATGTGATGCTCATTTGTCATTTTCATAGGCAGCTGGATTCTTCCTCCTGGATCTCTCAAACTCTTGAGTCCCCCATGTGTAGATAAGATAAAACACTACAAACGGCCTCACCACGCAAAGGCCGAGTGTGGCGCAGCACGTTGGGGATTCCTTTAGAGAAGACGTGTGGGAAGGCACGCTGCTCTGAAAGGTGACAAGCTGTATGAGATCACATGCCGCATCCGCCGTCAGATTCCCAAACTCGCAGCCTATGGTGGCGGTGGCCAGGGGTCACTTAGCCCTCCGCAGTCACCGATCCGGCAGACTCCTAGCTTGAAAATATTTTAAGAATGACAGAGCCAGAGCCAGAGCCAGACTGGGCGCGGTGGCTCACGCCTGTAATCCCAGCACTTTGGGAGGCGATTGCTAAAATATATTGTCACTAAAGTTTTTTTGTCATCTCTCATTGTCCTTAAATCTCACAAGGAGTTAAAAACCATTAGCCTATGGAAATAACTAAAAATAAGCTTAAGAGGGCATTTTTCTTTGAATAGCTTGTTCGAATATTATATCTATACGTATATATGTGTGTATTTATTTATTTATTTTTTTGCAGACCACAGGAAGTTTATTGTGTCTTTAAAAGAGATAATGCAGATTCCTCTTCCAGAACTGTCATTAGGATGCATTGCTCATTTGTCATTTTCATAGGCAGCTGGATTCTTCCTCTTGGATCTCTCCCTCTTGAGTTCCCGAATTGTAGATAAGAAAAAACACTACAAACGGCCGCACCATGCAAAGGAAAGGCTCCCGCGTGCGGCTCAGCACGTTGGGAATTCCTTTAGAGAAGACATGAGGGAAGGGGCGCTGCTCTGAAAGGTGACAAGCTGTAGGAGATCACATGCCGCATCCACGTCAGATTCCCAAACTAGTGGCCCATGGTGGCGGCCGCCAGGGGTCACTTAGTCACCGATCTGGTGGACTCCTAGCTTGAAAATATTTTAAGAACGGCAGAGCCAGGCCGGGCGCGGTGGGAGGCTGAGG